GTATGCCATCAAGGAAGAAGCATTTAAGAAACGACGAAAGAATGCAATAAAGAATAATTTGATTGAAATAATGAGTATATATGCATCTGGGTAGTTGTTGTTTGCTTGCTCATTAATGAGCTTGCAATCGTCAATTTTTATTCCTCCATCTCCCAAGTGCATATTCATTCCACTTCTTCTAACTGTTTCCTTTCGTTTGTTCAATCACTCGTCTATTCAATGAAAATCATCAACATCAAATGATAACCACTCATATTTCTCTCTCTAGTGAAATCAACGAGAATTTCTCACCGAATCAATATGTTCAATTTTGCGCCAGAAATTCTTCTGCAAGAATAATATCACTCTTGTTATCTGATATTCAAACTTGATCTGTACCAAAACATCTTCCGAACTGAATCTGAATGTGGAGTCGAAGTAACCGACAAAACTATGTCCTGTGGTGAGCAGTACGCATCAAAACAAATCACAATCATTAAGTATTACAACGGTGATTACTGGACCACAATCAAATGAAAATGGAATTAACGTATAAGAATAAACGTATTAGTTTGATATCGTCAGACATAATATGCAATGACCGCATTGCTCAGCAACAACTCAACGATTAGAATGAATGACTGGAACATCAAGTTCGTTTCTTTTCTGAGTTGTATTCTTCCTATGAATGCAACATCTACAAAGTGCATATTTTCAAACTGTAGCACTGCTTATCGAATTAATTACTTTTGTGAGACAGCAACTTGCATTCATTCATTATGAAACACTGTTATTGCATGATGAAATATGTATGAACTCAGAAATTGTTTGCTCCGAAATGCCAGATGCAATTAAAATGTGATATCAAGAAAAAGCAACTCACTGTCCAAGACGTAACTCTTGTAACTGCACATCGACAAGACCATCGCAGATCGCTAACCTCCAAATGCATAAACAGAATACCGCGCAAAGGAGCAGTTTCATTTGAAGATAGCTGTTTCACCACCAATTCACATTCGTTTAGCACAATAAATAATCAGTGGTTCTATTCATGAAATATTTCGACTGCTTATTTCGAGCTACAGTTCTGATGACGACCTCACTGTACCTGACTCTGCTTGATCGACGGCACTACGTCAGTTGCAACTATCTTCAATCTGTTCGAGTATCTGCAAACAATTCTATCCCATATGATATGAACATATGTGCATTCATTCGCTCGTCTACATGAAAAGCTTCCCAAGGAAGAACAATCAAATATAACGAACAGTTTTGTGAAGCACAGCAACCGAGTTCACATTTTGGAATTCCTACTGATTATGAGGAACGGAATGATCGACTTCACTCGTCCACTTCAAAACGCAAATTTTTATTGCCTTTTTTTCAGCTATTCCAGAGTTGGATAATGGTAGCATCCTCGTCAATGTTTGAGTTTCATCGAAGAAGGTTTCTATCAAAAATTGCAGCATTCTCAATTCAAAATGAGCTACTACAAAGTAACTGAATTGATCTCAAAAAATTATTTGAGTTGGTTAATAAAAATTTCTAAAGCTGATGATTATTATTGTTACATTATTTGCACCATTGCCTTTCTACTTTGCCTATATGTCCGCAAATCATAACGTGATGAATCAAAATCTGATCATGATAATATCCAAAAAAGCACGGCATTTGGCCTGAGCAGAACAGAACGAATTCATCTCTGCCATCATGATAGCCTGTTACACTAACAAGTACTCAGTCAGACCCTTGGTTCAAGATTACTTAGGATATCTTTCAAATCAAATCGTTCATGGACTTAGTTTCAGCAAGAGTGATCACTTTAAGCTCATAATCATAGATGCAAATGGGTCTTTAACAAAATATCGCTGCAACCACCATTGTAACTATTGCAATTATTGCATTCAACAATATTGCTTATACTATTGTAATCACCTATTCATTTCAATATCAATTATAAGCTATTGATTTATCTATCGTGATAACCTTTTTTTTCATTATTCTGATAGGAGCTGGACAGAAAAGAAGTAAGCGATCAAGTGTAATCTAAGTACTTCATCATTTTCATCTATTCAATATTTCAGTCGTGGTTATATACTTTAAAAACTTCTTGACAAGGAGAAAACAATCACATTTTTTTGCAAGAATTTATGTTTTGACTATTGTTGTCCATAACCGTGGATGCGTTCAGCAATTACTCGCCCACTTTGTTCTCCAAAAAACGGCTCCTATCATGACACCGTAACGAACTGGTGTGGTAAAATTGAAAGCGCCCTTAAATTTTCAATAACCCATCCATCTACCGCAGTGTACCAGAAAGGAATCGCTCACAAAATTGTTTTTTTTTTTTGTGATAATCGAGAACAATAAATAATTCGACAATAGCTTTCACTGGCAGAAGTGATTTCCTTATCGTTTTCAAAATGAGTACATTGAAAAATGGTACTGGTAAATTGTGGCATGTTTGTGAATGTAACAAAAGATTAATACTTTTATCGGTACAACTGAATAAAAATTCCTAAACCAGTATAAGTATTTATCAAAAATTAAATTCACTGAAGTGTTGAACCATTCGAATGTACGATAAGCATTCACCAATACATGAGAAATGATCTGACAGGTACTAACGAACGCAACAGAGTAAGACGGCTATCACTGAGAATGATCTCAAGATAGGTCTTTAAATGAGGCTGAATTAATGTTACAATTAAAGTCAAGAATTTGTGACAATTCAAGAACTTAAAACAACTAGTCATAAAATTGAAATGTAGCACATTTAATGGAGCAGCAAACATTACTATGCACTGAATGTCTCCAAAACGACGACAACTGTCGTGCGCTATTATGGTGACAATTCTCAGAGGCAACCCTCAGACACAGTACCGCCCTCTTGCTCACTGCCACGCCTACCGTGTACGAGAGGAGATCTGTGGATAATTATTCACAGCCGTATGAAGAATACCACCCACGAATTTTTCTTACAGTTCGGTAAAACGCCTGCAGCAAGAAAGACACAAATAACTGCTCCGTCACAGTATATCAGTAAGTTATTTATAGAAATGTACCGTATATAAAGTGATACCAGTAATGTTGTTACAGTAATGTAATAGTATTATCATGAGTGCTTAAATTTTACTGTTAATAACTGTGATATGCTCAATCAAATTATTGCTGATAATAATGAAATCACATAGTCAAAAGCGAGACATACTCACTGAACATCCATCATGTTCCATTTCTTGTCAAAATATGTATGAACGATGCAAAGTAGTGTTCTTCGGGCAATTTTAATTGCTGCTATAGTTAAAACACATCGAAGTCAATCTCCCATAATCGTCCTCTCGAATTTGAATGCATCATACAGATCATAACTTACCAATTTCGAAGCAAAAAGAACACTGATTGCAGTTGACTTTAGCTATCAGATGAAATAAGTTTCAGGTCCTTTCAATTAACAACTGAATGAATAATTATTCTGCAACAATAAATTCAAAAATCATCGTTTGAACATTGAAGAAGCCCATTCGAATGAGTGCAAGACCGCGAATAATCGACAAATATAGTTGAAAATGAGTGGAAATAAATTTTTGTGTGAACAGAACATTCTCAAGAAGTGAGTCGTCGTTGACGATCATAAAATATTAAGAAGTCACACAACACCTATCACAAATCTACTGCTCTACGTAGAGACACCTCAATGATTGTTTTCGCGACGACCCATCATTAACAGTTCACATTCTCTTTGATATCGCCTAAATTGCTTCGCATCTCTGTTTTTTTTTCGTTCACACTCCACTCGTTAAAGCGCAACTCACCGTGGGAAGAATGAATACGGACGGCACTATGAAATGTTATTTGTTTGGTTGTGCTCATACATTCAACCAATACGACAAACACTAGTAAAAACGTCTTTCAAAAAAAAAAAACTGCTAAAAATATTGGCAATAAAGCTTTGAACTAGGCTGCGTTAGGGTGACTCCGAGTATTCACCGCTTCGAAAAGTCAATTGAATACGTCGTGAAAAACACTTATCCATTATTCATTTATTAAGACAAAAACAACTCATTGACATGAGGAATACCGTGCAACAGATCAACTTTCCGCACAAAATTGTATACAATGATTCACGAACAATACAGCAAATAATACGATATTCTCATGTATTAAAAAGTCAGACGACAAAGAAACGCATTCTCGAGCCAATGACAGTCAGTTTCCAATGAGAGCACAAATTTTTCAGCATTCGAACACAACAGTTTCGACCTAAAACAATCATCTCTTCAAGACAGAAACGTCCATCAATAACGCTAATACTGCAGCTTATATCAACAAATATGCTTCTAGAACATGATTGAAGGTGTTAAAGGAGAAATTTGGTGGTCATCGATCGAATTACTCGATTGATGGCCACCGATAAGGCAATTTTTAGCGTCAGTCGGTTTGAAGCGGTAGCCATCGAAAATCGTTCTTTTTCAATGCCGATCGATGCCCTCAAAATTAAAGCTTCGGTAGTCACCAATGCGATGGCAAACATTTACCAACTGTAAAACGTGCTTGTTGATCGGCGGTTACCGATTGATCAAACTTCATTGGTTTCAGTCCGTGCCCAGTGGCCAAACCTTAGGTTGGAGCACTGTGTGGAAGAATCAGTAATCAAAATCCGGATTGTTTCGATTTGTCAATACTTGGCTGGACTTTCTAGAGGATATCATCACAAAAAATATTGAAATTGGCAGAATGCAATAAATCCAAGCAAATAAAACAAACTAGAGGCTATGGAAATGGACACGAAGTTGAATTATTACAACAATAACAATACAAACTAAATCTATGAATTTCATCTCCTATAAAACACCATCTCTGATATATTACATCATCACTTTCCAGAAATGTTCCATAAATTGGGCGCCGTGTTTTATCTAGCCTATCTTTTATGTACACGTTTTTGAACGCTGCAAACCTTTTGAGTTGCATGTCTCATATACAGTACCTTAGGGCATTCTTATAAAATATCGCTACGCTTATTCGGTATCACTGAAACTCGCTACAGAGTCCGATTCATCGTCATCGTCGATGGAAGTTGATGCATGTTGACGTTGTGAAGCATCAATGGAGGCAGGTTGTGCAGCACCTTCTGATGGTGCATCTGGCCTACTGAAAGAAGGACCTTTCGACAATCTTTAATCGTGAAAACGCACTAACGATAGATTGAAATAAACATATTTATAATGAATGAGTGAGATGAATGTACCAACAGTGAGTGCCGAAAGTGAAAAAAAAAGACTCTTGATTCAATTCCGGAAGAGTAATCATCGAAAAGCACAATCCAATCTTAGGAAACAATGATGGCCACAAAGTGCAGAGTATAAAAGAGAACTACAACATACTCCAGAAATGATGGATCGACTCCTTCCGATACCATTTTCTGTTTAACCGCTGCTTCGATGACACCCTGTAAATGAAATGTCTCTGAGCTCTTAGAAAAGAAGTGTTCGAAAAGCTTATGAATGATGATACATGTATCAATTGATTGATTGACTGAGTTGGACTGGCATGCGATTATATTTGTTTGCAATGAGATTTGTTAGGCGGCATTAACGGGCGATAACAAAGAACTGAGACGTCATGAATAAATTATGTACCACTACTGTGGATCGTTATTCACCAAAGAAATGACTATACAAATAAATTTATATCTAAAGATATTTTTCATTGATGGGTCAATAATCTTAACGTATACTTCAAGAAAACTCAACAAACTGTTTGTTACATTTCTGTCGATTTTACTCCAAGTATACACAAAGAGGCCCATCAACAAAGAGGCTTAATTTACATTTTTTGAGTGGTGTACGTGAATAAAGGCGATCAGAAAACAGTTTCATATACAGCTTACCATTTTAAGCATTTTGAAATATTTCTCATATCGAACATCTTCACGAATCGTAATAACTGGATGTAAAGTTGAGGTTTTTTGACTAGTTGCATTCAATTCAGTGGCATTCTCTTCAGCTGGTTCCATGGTTTCTTGGGGTTTCATTGCAATCTCCTGGAAAATAAATACCTATTTTACCAAAAATGTCTCATTCATTGTTTTTCAATTGATCTCATTATCAAATTTCGAATATGGAAGTATGAAAATGAAGGTTTTGATGAAAAACAGAACAAATGAAAATGGATATGAATCATCACCTGAACGGAGTCATCACTTTTAATGAGTGTGCTTTTGACATTGTTTGTACTTTCTAATGACGACGTCTGTTTAGGCGGTGAGGACTGCATCGGTTGATCGACGAAAACTTCACCTGCACCAGCAACACTATCCACCTGAAATTGATGCGGCATACGTACGTACGTTCATGATGTCGTCGTTGTGCTTCAATAGAACTAAGAAACATTGCAATGAAACGATTCCAGTAACACTATTATTCAACAATTGTTTACACAAAATTTACATTGTCATACAGAGTAATATGTCAAAAAGACACACCTCCATCAAACTCGAATAATTTCTCTGTTATAACAATAGATCACCATAAGCTATGGTGCACATCGGATCTAATAGTTTTTAATATTTATAAAAACAACGAATAGTGTTAGGCGAGCGATACTTATTGTACAACACCTCCTCAATGGTCAGACAATTGCTACACAGATCGGATATTTACCGACCTCGGAATCGCCATAAAGTCATCACTTTTCACACAGACTAAAGTATTTCAAGCAGGAACGCGGCTCATATAAAACGTTGAACTTTACGACAAAACATTCTCAATGATTCAAAAATAACTGTTGGACCTATTACACCGATCTGGAAGAACGAATACTCTTCTGCACAAATGTGTGAAATTGTGGTGAGAAAATGAAGTTTAAAATCACCTTAGACTCAAGCAGAAGTGTGCATGTTCTGACCCGCTCCAGGCGATTTTCCATTTCGATTATCCTACTTTCCACATCAGTGGCGAACGAATTTAAGAAGTGTGTTAATTGCATCACGAAATAATTCACAAACGCAATGGTTCGCTTAGTATCCAATGCTTTCACCTCAACATCTCGTAGAGTGCAAAAGTTACAAGCGAATATTTGTCAGTCGTTTTACAGAGTAACCTTATATTCATTTATAATATCTTATATACCTCCATTAAAAAGCTACACAATGCACATCGTTTCCAGTTGACAAGCAATTCAGTGCACTGCAACAATCATATTCACGACGAATATGGCCTACCTGAGTAATGTAACGACTGCAAACGAATCAAACTAACCTGTTCAAGATTTATATCCGCACTAATGAAACTCAAGTCAGGCTCAGTCATCGTCTGAAATGATTTTCATTGTACACTGATCATGAATACAACCACTTTTTAGACGCAATACTCAAAAAAATTTCGTTAGTAATAATCATTTTAAGTATCTGCACTTGACGTGCTAATGTCCCGGACATCCGTATTATTTTATCTCACAACTGGGTACTAGAAAGATATTCAGGATGAATTTAATCTTAAAGTGTAGCCTATGCCAAACCATGAATAATCTTATTATCGAATGAATTCTTATGCGTACAAATTGATCATGGACGGTGGTAATCGTGTGGGTAACTATTATTGCTGAACGCTAAACAACATGTGATCGAATTTCGATGTGATACTAAAGCATGCAGATATTTACAATCGAATTATATTCGAATGCATCGATTTGCATTACGAAATTGACGAACGTTTCAAAATGTTTTATTATGAGCACAACTAAGATCATGTACAAATTCAATAATGCTTTCAACTGTCGAAAAAGCATGAGATGAAAAGAAATCAAAGATAGATTACCAGCCAATCTTTAGAAACACATGCATTGCATTGACGAATTATTCTACAGAGCAAAAATTCTTAACCATTTGTCAGTGTGGAACTACGTCTAACGTATGATATTGCACAACAAATGAGATAGATTAGCGTTTCTACGCTGCTCGAATAGGCAGGTCAAGATATTAACGATCGTTTGTGACTGCGGAACGCGGTGAAAAAAAAGGCAGATAGTGGAGTTCAACTTGTATGAATGATTACAATTATCAGGATGAACAAAAATGCGGAACTTCTCACTGCATCACAACAAATGCTTCTTTGCATTAGTTGAACTATGACATTACGCCGTCACTAGATATTCTTAAACCTTTGTCTCGTTCACATCGACAAATACACTGTTTTAGGGTCGTACGTACGGAATAATAATACGAACTCTACTCTCAACTAATATCGACTTAAGTATGCAATCGAATTAAATCAATAAATTTGCATTGAAGAAGGAGGAACCAGTGAATTGACTAAGGTAACTGATCAGTCGACTTTGCTAAAATGGAACACTTACAACTGAGATTCGAACAGAAACGCATTAACCATGAGCTTATCGAGACCAAAACATTTACGTATGAAAAACGACAGAAAAAAAAACAGATTTTCGTTCAACAAACACCAAGACATCAAAGATTTTGTAAAAAAATCATCAACCAATTAATTCACGGATTACTATTCTTCTTACCTCAACGTATCAGCAGCATGCAGGAACGCCAATCAATCAATCGTTCATGTAACTAATTCTAATGTCCAAATACTCATGTCAAATCTAGCATATCCTCTGGCAATGAAACAAGCAGTTCATCTAGAAAAGATTCTTGACTAAAGAACATCGAACGCTTCTAAAAATAAGCCATCTCAAACTACTCGACAATCAACAGTTCTTCATCCTTCATTCCAAAATCTCGCAGTTCTGTATCTTCATATAGCATTCGCCTATCGCTTCATATTCCTTGAGTTACTTCAATTACTTCGCAGTTCATCACTTACGTGAAAAATATATAATAATTTACACGTTTGTCCACCATTTTTTCCTGTTCAAAACTAATTGTTGAGTAGCTTAAAACCTTCACACACAAACTGACTGAACTCAGTTCGCTGCTGTTAACCACTTGCAAGCAAGAAGTTAAACCTGTCCGTTCGAATTTTTGATCGCACCTTATCAGCAATAAAAACAAATTTGACCATACTAGACTATCATAAATAGTAAACAGAAATATTTTAAACAGAATACTGTTTCAAAACCGCATTTCACTGGACATTTCGATGAGAATCATTTGAGATTTAAAACCCCTAAACATACTAACTCATCCAGCAGAGTGACGATGGGTGGCCTGAGCTGATTTTTTCCTCCGGAATGTAACCAATTTAAGCACCTCATTCTCAAAACATAAAAATCTAAATCCCAAGAATTTGAAATATAACCCAAACAAAGTACTTAATACCTTTAATTCAAATCTTACAGGCAGAGGATTCCCAAGAGCGATGGCTAAATGACAACAAAATGTTATGGGAAACTACAGTCGATGAATTCCAGGACGGATGGGAGATGCAATTACTTAAGGAGAAAGGAACGGAAGATCGAGGTCGGTCGCAATTCGCAGTTCATATTCGTAAAGGTATGCGCTATCTCGTCAATGCGTCACGTCATATATCAAACAAGAAATCAATCGTCATAGTGATAATCATTATTATTGTGAAGTACTATAATTCATTATTCATCATTACTGTCAATCATTATTCATCATCATTGTCAATCATCGTGGACTAATATTGTGTGAAGATACTATGAATGCCTAGTTGGCCAATTACTGTTCTTATCGACTTAATATTGGAAAGTGAAGAATAAATACTACGTCAAGTTTCCACTGCGCATTCCACCACACGCTGACTTCAATTTTACTCGTAGCAGCGACTCAGGTAAGCCATTGTATTATATTCGAATGTAGATTCAATATTTTCAGAGAAAGATTTTGATGATTATGAAGCTAGTGATATAGTTACATTTGCAAATATGAAGATTTTAGGTGAGAAATTGCAAGGATTTGAAAGTAATGTAAAGAGAGATATAAGAGCAATAAATAGAGATTTGACGAATGTGAGAGGTAATAATGGACGTTTATGCAGAGAAATAAAAGACAATATTAATGAGAAGTTAGGCATTCATGATTCGAAGAAACAATTGACTATAGATATTGAAGAAGAGAATGAAAGTGATGATAAAAGTAACAGTGGTTTAGGTTCATTCCGTGGTACGGATAATAACTGCTCATGTCAAAATATTAATTCATCCCGTGGTACGGGCCTTAACAATGCATCTCTCAATATTAACACGCTCTCTTCAGATTTTCATTTAGCATCTCTCAAAATATCATCTTTCACTGGAGAAGGAGAGATTTCTTTCCCCCTATGGTTGCGAAAATTTAATGATTATGCAGATGCACAGAGCATCCCTTGGACTGAAAATCAAAAAGCGCAGAAGATAAAATTTTTCCTGGATGGACTTGCGCGAGAAGAGTATGAAACTTTTAGTCCTGAAATTAAACAAGATTTTGAGCCGCCGCTGTTGGCCTTAACGAACATATAAAGAAACTTTAATGGATCATTTTCTCGATGGATTATTACCTGATATCTCGTTTCATGTAAAAGCAGCAGAACTTGCTACGTTTGAGGAAGCTCACATTAAAGCTTTGCATATTGAAAATCTACTTAATGCTAGAATTACCTCTCAAACAGTTTAACCAAAAATGAATAAGAATGAAACTAATCATATATTTCTCGCTGATGATGTCTCTCACTCTTTATTAGAATTAAACAAACTCACACAAGAAATAAAAGAAATTTTGGCTATTAAGAATCCCAATAGAGCTAATAGTTCTCACGTAGTAAACAATCCACACGATACCACTTCAGCGGATTACAGGCGTCAACAGCGCTTCTCTAATTCACAACCTTTTTCTAATCTTACTCTCCAACGCTTTACGGACAATTCGACAGCGAATCACAACAACAGGTATGGTCAATATCATGACAAAATATTTCTAAACAATTTAGGCGATACGAGAGAAATTATGACACCAGACCTTACTGTTCGTAAAACTGGGCATTTGNATTCGACAGCGAATCACAACAACAGGTATGGTCAATATTATGACAAAATATTTCTAAACAATTTCGGCGATACGAGAGAAATTATGACATCAGGCCTTACTGTTCGTAAAACTGGGCATTTGGCGTACAACTGTTTCAAGAGGCTTCCCCCTCGAGACCTACAGCCATGACTACCATATTCGCAACAGAATATGAATGTGAATCACTCCTATAACTCTACATCCCCTAAACCATGCCAGCGATACAACAGGTATGGTAATTCTTACGATAGAAATAATTTTCGCACATATCCTTCAAGAGGAAATGTCAGCCATGTGGCTCATATCTCTGACAATCAACAGTACAATGCGATCAAAATCGCAGAACTTCAAGACCAACTTAGAAAAACTGAAGAGAGGAATCCTCTGCCTGTAAGATTTTAATTAAAGATGTTAAGTACTTTGTTTGGGTTATACTTCAAATTCTTGAGATTTAGATTTTCATGTTTTGAGAGTGAGGTGCTTGACTTGGTTACAGGAATACCATTCGCTTTACAAGCGCTTGTCAAACGATCAGAGATAAGATAGATGTTAGTTGAATTCGACGGATCTATGCAGAGTATCGAGCAAAAACGACTGATTCTGAGAATTGACTGTGATGAGCCACATTATCACGCATTCAAACAACAGATAAACACACAATCATTTTCGTACAATCAAAACGAAACAATCAAACTGAACGAAACTGAAATTCAGCCAACCTTAACTGAATGTACTATTCAGACGATAATATTAAAATACAACACAATTCAACAATATAATAAATAAATCGAATGAATGAATGAATAATCCCTGTATAAATTCACAAATATTCAAAAATGACGAACATCACCATTTTTACAATTAAAATTTGATGACAGGAAAACAGATATTCAGGAACGTCGTTGTGGAATGCTGCTAGGTTTGTCGATAACGGTGAATTCTTCGACTGGTTCAATGTGAAGATTCGATGTGATCGCAGTGGTGGCCAAGGCGCCTGCGAAACGAACAGCTCGTGATACGGCACCCGGGTCAGGTGACGATTCGGTCGATGATATCGCCGGTGTCCTCTCCAACACTCGATCCAAATTCAGCGGTGGTAAACGCTGCTCCAAAGGCAAAATTTCGTTTAGTGTCTCAACGCATGGCACCACGTCTTCCAAAAGAAACTATAAAAACACTTGATACGGATGGATTGACTTGGGCCTCTTACACGACATTTCACACAAAAATTAACAGTCGTTAGAGCAAGCATACATATTTTCGATAAGAAATGCGTTCAGTGATGAATAATGAACAGAAATTACACTCACTCGAACATTCATCATTTGAGCTTGAATTTCACGAGCACTTGCAAGCTCGCCGGAAAGACGATCGAAACGTTTCTTACGCTCGTTTAATTTACTTATTATACTTGACAATGCATAGTCGACCTGAAAAGTTAGTTCGTGGAAACCCTCGAATTGGACGAATTCAATAAGAAATTTCACCAATAAGAAAACTTTCTAGCACCTACGAACTTTCCAAATCCCTGTGTACTTTATTTATTTATTTTATTTATGGAATTTATTTCTTCAATGGAACGTTAACGAAAAATGGACGGCAGACGAAGATTTTGTTGCATTCTTACAATAGAGTAATATTTTCAGTACCACCACTAGGCTACTTGCCAGAGACGAATCAGCAGCTGGCTTTCATAAAAATGAATAATATTAGAAGGAGTGAAAGTTGAAAAAGGAACATTTCGGATCACTGATGTGAGTGCATCTTGTTCCGATACCACGGTTACTGCACACTGTGAAAGATGATCTTGAAGGCGATAAGCAAATTTGAGAATCGGTCGAGGGCTCAGTTTAAGTGTTACATCTGGAGGATCGCGCAAACCAGCTTGATTAAGTGCACTCCGCAGAATTGGGAAAAATTTTGGAATTTCCTGGAAGTTATGATGACAGAATAAGGGAATCGAAAAAGGTGAAGTTCTGAAAGACTGTCCATAATATAGCTTTTGGTAGTACGCAATGAAATAATTGAATGAGTTCAACTTTCGGATGAAAGCACGATAGAACACAAAAACTAACTACAAATCTCTTGAGTATTTGATCGTCTGCAGGAGTGGGCAACGAATCGATGCCAGATTTAACAACAACAACTGGACCAGACCGTTTGTTCGTTAATGAAGAATCCCTTTTACCAGCTAAAAACGAAAGCGACGTTGACACACCACTGCCATTGCTTGATGATGCAGAAACGCTTTGTTCGTTACCCATTCCTTTTACTCACTTCCAGTCTTTCGGAAAGATCGTCACGCTAACCACATCGAATGGGAAGACGGTGCAAATTTAAGCGAGATACGATTCACACCTACGTCCGTCCAACGCCTTTCCAATTCTGCAGCCGTCTCCTGAACACTCGTATTCTTAACATCTTCAGTGAAATTCTTTTTTTTACTTCCCATCAATTTCAATTTACAGTGCTGCACATCATATAAACTACATGCGGAATACAATAGAGAATATAATACCTGTCGATTTATACTTGATGGCAGATTTTCGGAATCTGGATCTGGCAAATGTTGACGAGGTATTGGAATGAAATCCTGCATGCAAGGAATAATTATTATGTCCAAAACGATTGCACTATACAGAAAATTTCCACAATTTGTACTATACATTTAGTTGCTAGAGTAATAGACACTTCAAATGTTAATCGAACATTCGTTCGATTACGTATGCAAACTCATTTTGGATGAGATCTTTTTTTTCGATTCATTAAGCGATGAAGCAGCAACAAATACATAATGGAGTATAAGATGCATTCCGAGATTTTGAGAAAGAAAACAATAGTGCTTACTTACGAATTCCTACTTGAGATAAAACACTTGCAAAAATAAAACTGGCAGAAAAATTGACCTTCGGCAGCTGATGTCCAATCCACTTTAAATCTCGACAATTCAACGTATGATTCAATGACGCAAGTTTAGGTACTAATGTCATTTCATCAATCAAGATGAAAAATGCTTCATAGAGAACACTTCTTAGTGTATTCGAATCTGCAATATTTTTGTCATATCACAACAAAGTGTTTAACTGTGCACTGATCGTGAGCTACACGGAAACATGGACGGCCTTGCGCACTACTCCTGCTATTGTTCGTCTCACTGAACACCTCTTTGGGACACAACTAGCTATTGACTTTTTATAAACAGAAAAACGAAGAGATATTTGAAACGTTTTAACCAAACGCCCTTGCAGCATATCAATGTTCTTGACCCATGAGGAAAAAACAGGAATAAAACTTTATTACGATTCATTATTATGTGAACATGATAAAATATTGTGCATATGACAACCGGATAATAATACGAATTATGACTACAATGAAGGGACACAACATGCTCCGAAAGGATACGAAACCAGCAAAGTCGTCTTTAACACAATAAAACGATTTGAAAGAGCGTAATTTCAAAACGAATAATACCGCATACACATAGATAAAAATGGAGGCATCATTCCAAACTTATGCAAGAACTGCAAATAAACAAGTGACCAAGTCAAATGATGAATATTGAATGGTTTTTCAACCGTTACAGTCGAACCTTTGAACAAAACTCGATGCCCTTGATTGACTCTAATCTCAACGGTTAAAAAAACGCATTTTTGACAAACAAGCTGTTTCCTCCTTATGAGGAATTTGTTTTGGCAATACTCGAATTTATTCGCTTATTACCTCGTCTGACACCAATTACCTTTTGCTATTGCAATCCGTTGTTATTGAAAAGAGAGAAAACTTTAAATTTAGTTCATCAGCGAACAAAGTATCACCACGCAGTTGAGACTTTCACGAAGAAAGATGGCAGAAAGCTTAAAGCGTACAACGATTGGCTGTCCCTTCAATCAATTTTCATTAATCGAATCGCTGAACGAGGAAGTTATTGCCTTGATCAAGCTTGAATCCGAATTGTTCATAGAAAGGAATGAGAGAATCTTTGCATTCAAGTGACATCTTATAAACACCAATAAGACGAGCCAATTCGACCAGATAGAAATTGAGTAGTTTACCGAGTTGTTTACCACGCATTCGTCTGTCCACTACCACATCTTCAGTACGTCCCCTACATCCAGCCTCATGGATAAACTTCCACTCGATCACTAAAGTCGCTGAGCCAACCAACATACCGCTGCTGAATTGTATTCATTATACAATTACAGTTGTTTATCACTACTCATTTCTTTCACATCCCTTATAAAGAAAACATGTAAAGATAAGAGATCATCTTACCAGTGCTACAAAGAAACTACTCGAAAATCATCTTCAAAAGAAAGCAATTTCTTAACGGTAAAAACAGTGCAAGTCACTTCAAAGTATTTAAAGGGCGGATAATTTGTATCAATCTGATTGGATCTACTTTTTTTTTGATACCCTCGCTAACGTTCATCGGGATAATGAGAGAGTGGTCCCTATATCTCAGAGAATGGGTAGCTGTGACAACGTTTATGAAGACGAATGGTTTCCGGATTGTTTACGTCGAAAAAGTATTAAGAAAATGATACTTGATGGTAACAGAGAGAGAGAGAGGCATATGTTCGTGATGAGGTGTAGTAGTTGAAGAAATAAATGAATAGAAATCCCATCGATTACAATTCATAACTCAAAAAACTGCTAGCTTTAGCGCATCTCGCGAACTACTTTTGTAGGAGATAAATTTGTTTAAGCGAACTTTTCTATTGATCAATTGGATCGATATAAATATAGTCAGTTGTACGAGTAGTCATCATTGAACAAACATAATGAAACGAAAGAATCAAGTTTGCCCACCTAATTTCTTCCAAAACGACAACGTAGTAACTCTTCGGATTTGTTTTCTGCATTGAAAGAAACCTGAAATTAGCAAAATTTAGTAACTCATATATCCAACAATCTAGGCGTTTGTTTTATACAAGATTTATTCTCAAGATTTATTCAAGTTATTCTCAACGAGGCAAGATTTATTGTAAGAATTTCAATCAAGTTTTGTCTCGTATTATAAAGAATCCTGAGCTGAAAGAGGAAGTTTAAGGAAGAATAATGATAGAGTCATAATAACGTATGATGACGAGATGGACCTTTTGTGAAACTGTTCTTCTGAAACGTCACCGACGGATGTGAGTTGCGAAAGAAGTTGCAGGTAACCATGGTTGTAATCGGTACTGCGTAGCGGGCGAACAATGAGATCAGCGGGGAGCTTTGGTGCCGATAGAGGTAAGTGTAGTGATGATAACACTTCCAATGGAAACATGTCAACATCATCTGAAATGTAATCAACCACTGGTGTCAGGATTCTGGAAAGAGCAACTGTTTGTTTCAGATGAGGAACAGTACCATCAAAGCTTACAGTTTTCTACTCCTGAGCAAATTATCACAAAAAAAAGACGAATCTATGCGTTTGTTTTGTTCAAGAGTGCAATTCCATGAAATTGCATCGAGGCCGAATGCAGCAGCAAAACGAATAACAGCTTTAAGATGATTCAAATATTCATAAGCATACATTTGATATGCAGCTTTAATACCGCTCAATGACGGTTGACTGTCTCATAAGAACAAAATACCTAGTTCAGAACATAGAGAATAATCTATGTCAGTTAAGCAATTGTTGTTGTTGTTGTTGTTGTTGTTCAGACGAGATGATGGCTTGTCTTCAGCGCAATCGAGGCAATCCGTCTCTTCACGTAACTTTCGAGCACAAGCATCCATGCCAACGCCTTCCATGCCTGAGCCTACGCCTCCAACTGTTTCACCTGAAATATGGCAGTTTCCTGAATATCCTCCTCAAATAAGGCATTTCTGCGGTAAGAATGAATACATAGTATAATGAATAAACCTTGTCGATATCCCAATAGCAGACAAAGGCTGAACTGCACAACAACGACACGAGCACCACAATGGCATCGAACTGATTTGAGAAGTCTGTATTAATTTTCACACTACCTATTTGACCAATCAACTCACAACAGCGATCTATTAAATGCAATTATTCCGACGAGGTCATCAGTTTGATCATAACATCAACATTGTCATCAGTCAATTCAACCATAACCTTGAAGGAAATAAAAACGCTTTCGACTGAACTATTGTTTCGTGGTGTGGCAATTCATTCTGCACATGTCTGCACAGTTCAAATACAAATCCGGGCGTAACGAGAATGCAAGGTGAAGAAATGAATAGAGCGAAGATTCGGAGGATAAATATGAATGAGAGTGAATCAGTGATACGTCTGCAGTGAATAAGAAGAGTACGAGTACACAGTGGGACTGTAACGCAATCAGCAAGGTTAGAAATATGAGAGCGATGAAACATCACACGAATTGGACGTAAAAAGTGATGATGGAATCAGAGGGGTGAGTAGAGTACTGAGGTACATTTTTTGTTTGAAGTAGCTATTCAGAAGGCGTGCACACTTTTCATACTTCCATACTCAGCTCTCCATCAACCATCAATCCTATGCCTAGTTTCCATACTCTCTCATCACTCTCATTACTAAAAAAACTTACTCCATTACGGCTCTCCACTCTGTGGTGGTAGACTACTCATTCGCTTCGGCCGCACCACTGATTCACTCTCGTTCACGATTCTCCGAATAATCTGTGTTAAATCTATTTCTCAACCTTGCACTTTCAGTTAACTTTCTAACGTTAATGAAATCGGAATGTTGACAGTTCGCCAAGTAGGAACGTAGTGACAGTTCGCCAAGTAACGGAAGTCAGATTTTCATTTGACGTGAGTTCAGAAGTGTGAATTTTTTACCCATTGAAAAGGAATGAATCTGGGCAATTTATATACCATTTTGTAGCGCAGATCCAGGAGAATAAAACATGACGTATAGATTTGCCAGCAATCAAGATATATTTGAGATTCTCGATTTCATTTTAACTGCAAAAACTCAAGAAATAATTTGAATTAGTAAAAATAATGTGTCGGTGGATATGCGACTGAGAGTTTAATATAGAGTTTATTGTCAAATGTAAGCGGAAGCGTGAATATAGTTTAACAATATAATAATTACAATAGTATGACTTTTCAATTAATTACAATATGATCAGCAACAATGGATGAAGGACCTACAGAGGCCCTCACAATAATGTAGTCTTCACAGAATATAGTCAGTTAATACAGTTAATATATTTCTGAATCACTGATGATAAATTAATCACTTGACGACTTCAATAGGAACTGATATACTGATTGAACATTATGCACTTGAGCTCTGATATGTTTGGACTGACTTGTTGAACTGACTGACCGACGACCGACCTCGTTCTTTCGCACTTATGTCCTTAAGTACCCGTGCTTCACTTCCGTCCTGCAATATATTTTCTCACAACATTTTGCTGTTGCTCAGGATTTGTTTGTGGGAATCTTTTGCCTTTGAGATTTGAATTGAAGATATTAAGCATTTTGTTTGGATTATATCTTAAATTCTTTGGATTTAGATTTTATGTTTTGAGAATCATATTCGACTTGGTTACACCTCCCACCCTGCGGCAAGACCGTCTCTGGTCGAAAAATATAACTTGGCTTACCTGCACTACACTGAGTACTTACGAGAGTTCAATATTGATGCCATTTCCTGTTGATGAAGAAAGTGTCGAGGGGCAGAAATGGCTTGCCATGAGCATCCACCAAGAGATTGCGATGATTGCGGTGAACGTCATTGAAAATGGCAGCAACGTATCGACTGTTCACTATGGGCGTTTCTTGGGTGGCTAGACGCAAATATTTTTGCCATATGCCATATTTCAATAACATAGGGAAATCAGCAATAATAAAAAGTCCATGACGTGCACGTGACAACGCCACGGTAATGCGTTGAGGATCCGCAAAGAACTTGACTTGGTCATCTGTTGCGCAATAGTCATATGAGCGTGTCGTGACGAGAATAATGACATCATTTTCTTTGCCTTGGAAGCTGTCGACAGTGTGACAATTAATAGATGTACCATCCAACTGAGAGCGGATGTAATCACGACTGGCGAGGTAGAAACATAAGACAGTGATTTTGTGTGAATCAATAGTGAGAGTCAAACGATTAGCAATGTGGATGGCGGCGTTTTCTTGACCGCGGTTGTAACGTGATCGCCGGGTATTTATTACATCAGAACTGGATATGTGAATAAGAGCAAGAGGAATAGATGGAATTGGTAAAGGAAAATCAGAATGAGTTAGTAACGAACGGTCATCAGCGGAAACACCCGGTCTTAGTTGACCATTATATACGGTTTCTGATAGGCAGAAGGTTAGGAAGGGGTGTGAGCGATACGAAATGTTAAGAGAGAACATGGGGATAACGTTTCGTCGAGCTACACTCGCGATGGCGCTGTCGCACCCATATTTCAGAAGCTTATCGGGGATGTTAGCTTTATAAGCAGGAAGTTGGTGTAGGTCGCCAGTAAGAAATACTTGCTGGAGATTAGGCATACCAGAAACAAGGGTTAACAATTGCACCTCTGGCACAAAACCAGCTCCATCAATTATGCATCGTTCAATGTAATCTTCAAGTGAGGAAAGAAATTGTTCTAATATGGCAATTGTGCCGCAAATTAATCGTACCGTTTTGGTTTGAAGTACCAGGTCAAGAGCTTTGTGTTCATGACATCCAGTGCCGTCATGAGCAATGCGATTGTTGACGTAGTCACGAGCAAATTGCAGTTGATCATCGCGAAAATATTGTAGGTCCACCAATCGGCTCATGAGCTCCGGCATGCGATAGGGAGCCCATAAAGAGTCATCTGAACGAGTTAGACGTTCATCAGTTAGTGATTGCATATATAAGAATTCAGTATGCGCCAATTGTGGTACCAACTTGAGTATTGCCTGCGCCATATTACTAACAGCCATGTTGGTGGTGGCAGCTAAGAATGTGATAGCTAAAGGCACCGTTTGCATATGCTCTTGAATAAATGCAGAGATAACGAAAGTTTTACCAGTACCTGCTGGTGCTTGTTGAAAAAGAATAGGGCAATTACCCTTCAAGTGTTGAATTACTGAACATTGCTCATCAGTTAATGTTAAATTCGTTAACGGTGATGTATTGGGAGTATATGATAATTGTCGAGGTATTCCGAGCAGTAGTCGGAGTATGTGAGAGCACTGGGGAGCTGTAGTTGACTGCAACATAGTTGAGATATATCGATATCGTAAATAATCAATACGACTCTCTAGGCCTGTTCTGGTAGAGTCTGGTTCAATCACCAGCTCTTCACCTGCTTGTGTTATTAATCGACACAGCTTCTGAACGTCAGCGTCACGAAGGACAATTGTTGCCTTCATGTTCATGTCCGGATCCAGTTGGATATCTTGAATTACGGCTGATACTGGCGGGTGCCGTTTATCCTGTTGCCTGTAAATAGATGGAATAATGTGCATCCTCACGTCAGGTTCCCAGAACCTGACTCTTAATGACATGATTCTTGGGTCGTTGATGGCTGGTACTGATACTGCAAGAATATTATCATGCAAAGTATATGAAGTCCCTACATAAGCACTGTTAGACATAGCATGTATTATTCTGTTGCGAATGAAGATGGCAGTGGCCAATAAAATATCTTCATAGTTTCGACAGATTCGAAGAAGTTGATCTTGGTCATCAGCTCTTATTCGAGAGAAGGGATCTAGTTGTAATGCAGGGTGAGTGGGATCAGCAGGACTGATGCAGATTAATACAGTATCGGCAAAGTCTCGTGTGACGAAATGATTATTGGAATCAAAAGGGTATCCTGGTGGAAGTACGTAATTGATGGCGATTTGAGCCAACTGTGGGGCATGAACGTAATGTGCATGTACAACATCTCCTTCCAATGGACGAGAGGTGAAGGAGTCAACAAGATAGTGAGGGACAGTTTGAGTTTTTTCAGCATGACGTCCAACGTACTGCAGCAATATTCGTGGTTGACTCTTGAGGTTGCGTCTATCACCAGCTTTGACGTTGGCATGTTGAGTAAGAGACAGAATAGACATAATAGACGGTTGTCGCTCGAACGGTACGGCAAACTGCGCAGCGGCATTGGCGCGAATGCGGTCAGCACACAAATTTTGTAGAATGATTTGAGGGTGGAATGTTTGAACGGGTGCCTGGCGATGGTGAATTATTAACGGGGCGTATACTAATACTTCAAATAGAGAAAATGGGTAGACATTGAATTTGTTAAACCCTGTACCACAATTGTGCCCGTCATAATAGAATTGAGTGTAGTCAGTGAACTGTAGTAATGCAGGAGCCTGATCCAGAATGTGACGGGATTGTGACGGTTCAATAACTAAGACGACTTGGTTAGTAAGGCATTGCGAAACTATATAAGTTACGGGCTCAGGTAGAAATACGTCATTACCGAGAGAAATAACAGACGATGATGTAGAATCAGAAAGCAGTGTAATGGGCTGACATGGTGGCTTATATGCCTGGATGACGGGATGAAGTGAAGGCTGTGAGGTGGATGGTATAGCAGGAGGTAGCTCCTGAGTCAAAGTAGAAGGTTGAGGAGATATGGGCACTTGTTCGGATCCGTCCGTAGGGACAGATTGAGATAATTGTGAGGCTTCTACGAAAAAGGGTTGTTCCGAAGACGCAGTTATATGAAGAGAAGCCAGGCGTTCGGAGAGTGACAATGTTTGCATTGTAGGAGGTGGCGGAGACACCGGTTGAGGTGTCGTAGTAGAAGGGAGTGAACGAAGACGACGTGGCAGAGAAAGAGTGATATTAGTAATACTGGGAAAAGGAAGCACATTAGTCAGTGTTTGGAGTCGGCGCGTAAAGAAATTGAGGGTCCTACGTGGAATCGCAAGTATGTCTTCAACAGGTTGCTCTTGAGATTCATCATGATGATTGTCATGAGAGGGAGTCTGAGATTGTGATAAGCGTTCCGACATCCTGCAATAATGTTAATATTACATCGGCAATACGGCTTTAGTACGTGAACGTAAGTTATATCGTGACGTAGCGGATGACGACGCTGCAGATTGAATTTGAGATGGAGCATGTTAGTCATACTGGTAACCCGGTATATTATGCAGTGCTTGCGCCTGAATATCTGTCAATTGCAGCTGCTGATCTTCGGGAATAGTGGGTAGAGTGCAGGCAGGACCTTCAATGATATTGAATTTCTTAATTTGGTTCAAGTGCACCTTAAAAGGTGTGGCTCTTGGTACAGCACAACTGACTATTATTGCATTAGGAACATTGATGTCAATGACTCTGTACACGCCTGTCCACGGAAGATGAAATTTCTTTGTTTCACTAGGCTTAATGGTGTCACAGCGAAGCAAGACACGGTCACCCACACAGATTTTAGAATTAGAAGCTGTTCGATCATATGTTGCTTTCATCTTTTGTTGAGCGCGTATGCTAAATTCATATGCTAGTTTCCAAGCTTGGTGTAATGAGTGGATCATGTGGGCTTTGAATTTACTCACATCTACGTCAACAATAGAGTCCCTAGCATTGGGAAGGATGACACCTTCAATTGAAAAGCAGGGGTCACGCCCAAACATGATGAAATAAGGGCTCTCACCAGTCATCTCATTGATAGCAGTATTGTAACAAAAGGACATAAAAGGTAAGAATTCATCAAAATCTGTGATTTCATTAGAGACATATTTTGCCAGCATATTTTGAAATGTCCTGAATGAACGCTCGACAGCACCGTTACCGGCAGAATGATATGGGGTAGAGTAGCGTTTATTAATGTATAAAAGATTACAGAATTCTTGAAAGAAGTCTGATGAGAAAGATGTGGCATTGTCAGTAACAAGTTGGTTTGGTGTTCCATAAATAAGAACGCAATGATTCAAGATAGCTTTTGCTAAGGTTGTTGATCGAGCATCTGATACAGGAATGCTGATAACATATTTGTTAAAAAGACAAATAATATTCATAATGTATTTGTTGTTATTCGCAGTAGTTTTGAAAGGACCGCAAAGATCCAATCCTACTTTATTCATGATTGCCATACTGGATACAGGATTGAGAGGTACACGTGGATAAGGTCTGGGATCATGACGCATTTGGCAAGTGACACAAGCGCGTGTCCACTGATATATATCTCTATATTTTGTATCCCAATAGTAGTTTTTCATTTTATGTAAGACTTTCTTGAAATTAAGGTGGCCACCGGCCAAGGGAGACAAATGGAAATGATCAAATATCAAAGGTCGTACAGATTGAGGTATAACTACAGGCATATCAGTGTTAAATCTGAAAGATTTATTAGAATTAATAAGTTTGAATCATTATCATCTAAGCAGTATCGATTAGCTGTGTTCAAGAATGTATGAAGAACATTTAAATCATCAGTTTCAGGCGAGGCGCCAGTCTTAAGATAGTCTATGATGGGTCTTAAAGTTTTGTCTGCTTGTTGTTCTTTAGGTAAATCAACGAGATATTTGTTACCTTCAGAGTTAGAGACTGCTATTTTATTGTCAGGATGAACTGAGAGGATATGATGACAGGTACTTAGGCTGAGACAGTTGGGAAATTCTATAATATCTGGCAATTCAGACACTTGATTATAGTATTTTCAGAATTTGGGTGGAATAGTAGTGGTAGTCATTAATCTGACTGGAAGAGTTCTAGGTTGCCAACAACGTGGGTCACCTAGCGGTAGTTTGCTATCATTAATGATAAAAGAATTGTGTAAAATATCCATAGTAAATGGGGGAAAATATTGTAACACGTCGCAACCTACAATAATATCATACGAGCGCATATTATTAATAAAATCATTATCGGAAAAATACAATGGCGCGGATACAATAACATCAGCAATTTGAAAATTAACGATTGCACTGCCGATGATGGTAACAGCATGGCCAGATACCCCAACGGCATGCATGATATGAGAGGTGATTTGTAAATCTAACATTGCTATCCAATTGCTTGATGTCACTGTAAGGGCGGAACCTGTATCGATAAGAAAGCTACAATATATATTGTTTATTCTCCCACATATTTGTGAGCTAAACGGAGAAGCAAGAATATTTACATCTAGATTAAATTGTGGGACTGTAACTACAGGAGGCCAGCTCTTTGTATTGCCTACATTGGAGATAACGATCTGCTCAGAATGAGCAACATTAGAAGTGTTATGATTGGAATTTAACTCAACTATTTCAATATGACGTGAAGGAACAACACTGTTCCACAATTTGAAAATATTTGGAAGAAAGATTTTTAATAGAATGACTTTAAAAAAAAAAGATTTTAATAGAAAGATTTAACAGTAGTTTTGATCGTTAGCATTGCGTAGACTATTGACACCCAAATATTCCATGGTGTCGAAAGGAAGTTGAGAAATGAAGATGGAGAGAAAGCAAAATTGGTTTGATAATTGTTATCATTAGATTGAGTGATTAATGATTGATCTGAAATGAGGCGTTCAACTTGCAAGACACGGGTAGCTGCAGCCAGATGGACTGAGGGAAAGAGTTCAGACAAATTACTGATTATTAGATTATGAAAAATTGTGTTTTGTATATGAGGGGAAATAGAAGGAATACTTACTTGTATTTTTGAAATTTGTGATTGGGGTATAAGTTGTGTAAGACCTTGTACTTGGTCAACTATCATCAGACTGCAGCTGATTTGAACTGGAATATATCTGAGCACAGAACAGTCTGTTTTTCGCGAAAACTGGGATATGATCATAGTTGTGGGATCGAGAAATCCATGAACAATTTGTCCAGATACATCTAGTCGAATAGGAAGATATTCATAACAAATGTCAGTGTCATTGGTTGGCACAAATTGAAAGGAATTTCCTGGGATTGGAACACAAGGCCATACCTCAAGTACAGAAGTCGCGAACCTCGCATGTATATCTAAGTTGTTGAGGAGTGCTCTTGCGGCAATTGTTGGATTGGCAGCTATCGATGCGATGAGTTGCTGAAATAATCTGTCGACTGTGTTGCAAACATTGAGGAGGGCATGCTGAAACGAAAATGTTAGGGCTTGAACCAAGCCAGTTCCCAATGCCTGTAGCTGGGAAGCTAATTAGTTCGTCGTGACAGCGCCTGTAATTGGAGCGGAGTCTCTACTACGTCTCGTTCTTCTGTAGTATTTCGTCAATTCCTGCGCTTTAATAGCATATCCTTGATCTGTAAGAACCAATGTATCTTTACAATTTTCAAAAGAGGTAAAAACATGTGGCAGTGATATAGCAAATTCTTTTGAGTGCGCTATCCAAATATTGCCGAAAAGTTGGCCTTGCCACTTCGCAAATTGCACGAAACGGCACTGTTCTTCTTGACTGGGTTGCCATATCAATGTGGATTTATCTCTTAATTGGCAATTCCCTTCATGATATTCACATCCTTCCATTATCCCAACTGGAGACTGTAATTCAACATTATCAAATTTCACAGTTACATAAGTTTCAAATAGAAAGCAATAGGTTGCCGTAATGTGTTTTTCTGAAAAACTTCCAATAATAGGATAAGGAAATTCAAAATTAAATGAATTCTCGGTTTGGTATATTTCACTTTTTAATACCAAATGGCCATACTCACATTGCTTATGGTACAAGATATTTTTACATTCGGTAACTGAAACTGGTAGTAAGTCCGTTACGTAACGGCTGAATTTAGCATTTAAGAAATTAGTATAATAATAAGCTGTTTTACGAACGGTACGGCATACATACGCCTTTGTATTGTACATAATGGTGTTAGGTCTGTATAGAGTGAATGTTACATTTTTGATTTCATTTTGCTTCGTTGTCTTCAATTTGGGACAAAGAAATGCATTATCCACTTCCCAAAACATTCTAGCATGATCTGTTTGACAAAGAAGTGGTAATGGTGCAATGGAATGCGTTTTGTTGCAATGTGCAACTGATGTAGCTTGCGATAAGCCATTGGTTGTAATAAGGAGATATAGCAGAAGATAAATGGAATACGGCACAATTGTTGAAACATAGTTTGATATGTAAGATGGGAAATGAGATTGGGATTCATAATTGAATCTGTTTGGATTGTTTGGAGATAAAATAGACAACGAGCAAATATTAGGGGTCTCATTATTATGCTATTATGCTAACCTTTCATTTTGTTTTAACAGATGTTGATTCTGCTGTTCAGTTCTTCTAAGGTGATCTTGAAGTTCAGCGATATTGATCGTACTGTACTGTTGATCATTAGAATTGCGACCGACTGGACTGACACTATTTCTTGAGGGGTATGTACGGAAGTTATTTCTACCGTAAGAATTGCTATTGGTATTGTAACGTTGGGTGGGTTTAAAGGATGAAGGGCAGTCATTCATGTTCTGTTGGGAATACGGTAATCTTGGCTGTAGATCTCAAGGAGGAAGCCTCTTGAAACAATTGTAAACCAAATGTCCAGTCATACCACAATACGAGCAGTAAGGTCTAGTATCGCAATTTCTTTCATATTTCCTGAGTTGTTTTGAGATATTTTTATCATAGTAACGACCATATGTTTTGTTGTCAATTGTTGTTGAGGAATTGGTATAACGCTGATTGGGAAAAGATTGTGGATTATGGAAAGGTTGTTGATGTCTGTAATCAGCTGAAGCGGTATAATTAGGATTGTTGGCAGGGGAAGAACGACTGATTCTTTTGGGATTTTTAACAGCTAAAATTTCTTTTATTTCTTGTGTAAGTTTGTTTAATTCTAGTAAAGAA